CCACTTTTTTTTTTCAGGAAAAAAGTAGACACCATCCTCTCCCTCCTGTCCTGCTCCTTTCAACCTGCCTCTCCCGACTCACAGCCTATTCTCAAATAACCCACCTTAGACCTAGAAGTCTTTGCCAACTACAGGCCCATCTCCAACCTCAAATTCCTTTTCCAAGCTGCTGGAAAGCTGTGATCTGATTCTGATGATCTAGAAATGGGGAAAATTCCTTGTTTCTAGATCATCAAGACTCTTTCTGGACTGGTAGAAGTTGTTACTACTTACTCCTCCATGTAGATCTGCGTGTATTTGCCAAAGCGTGAAGAGTTGTCATTGCGCACTGTTTTGGCATTCCCAAAAGACTCCAACAGGGGTGTGGCCTCTAGTATCTGACCAATCGTCACAGGAGTTGTACTATGGCAACTACTTCTATATCTTAAAAAAAATAAACCGCCTGGTTTCCGCCCTGGCCACAGCATGGAACCGGCTCTGGTCAGGGTCATAAATGACCTGCTGATGACAGCAGACGTTGGCTCTCCATCATTTCTCATCCTCCTGGACTTGACTGCAGTGTTCGACCTGTGGACTGCAACATCCTCCTTTACTATCTACACTCCACCATCGGTCTCTCTGACTCTGTCCACAACTGGTTTTCATCCTACCTAACCAGGAACTGAGCATTAATCCCTGACAGACAACGTCACCTGTGGTGTCCCTTAAGACTCAGTGCTTGGCCCCACCCTGTTTATTCTCTACATGCTCCCCCCGGCTGTGTCATCAGCTGGCATGGAGTTTCATTCCACTGCTATGCTGATGACACTCAATTCTACCTCAGGACTAACCCAACCCCTTCTGCTGCCCTGCCATCACCCACCTGCCTGGGGGAGATAAACACTTGGATTAAGCAAAACTTCCTGCAGTTAAACAGCTCTAAGACTGAAGCCATCCTGGTCTGCACTCCACACCAGGTCCATTCATCTGTCATTACCAACATCACCTTCTCTCACCAGGATATTCCACTTTCAACATGAGCCGCCAACCTGAGTGTTAGAACGGGCTCTCGTCTGACCTTTCAGGTTCACATCAAACATCTATACAAGACTACCTTCTTCCACTTCAGGAACATCGCAGAAAAAGCTTGTCACAACTTTGTCTCCTACAATCTGGACTACTGCAATGTGCTCCTCACCAGGATTCCCGGCAAAAGCCTCCAGAAGCTGCAGTACATTCAGAACAGAGCTGCTAGGATCCTGATGAGGGTGCGCAATTGCCCCATCCTCAAATCACTCCACTGGCTTTCTGTCTCACTCAGTATTGAGTATAAGGTCTCCCTCCTCACCCACCAGTGCATCCATGGTGACACTGCCCCTTTCTCAAGGAACTCCTCACCCCACAAACCTCTACACGTACTCTCCATTCTGTTTATATCTCCTGAAACCTCCCAGGACCGTGCTCCGTACTATGGTAGACTGGCCTGTGGAATGCTCTCCCTGACCACCTGAGGACACCACAGACTATGGATGCTTTAAACGTGGCCTTAAAACCAACCTTTTTAGCAGAGCTTTTGGTTGATTGTTATTCTTATTCTCTTTGTGTTTTATTTTTAGCACGTTTGTGTTTTTTAATATAGCACTTTGGGATTTGTCTAAATATAAAGTTAGTTACAAATAAAAGTATATTTTATTATTATACTTGACTTTTCAACCAAAATGAAGCCGGTTTTAACCTAGATGTCCTTTTGACATTCAAATCAGCAAATACATCCTCACTTGAAAAATACAAACATATATATGAAAATATAAATTGAAATTTCCCTGACCTGCTCCTCTTGGAAGATGACTCTGTTAAAGAAGAACTGCAAAGTTTCGTTGGCGTAGTTGATGCAAAGTTGCTCAAAACTATTCACCTGTAGCTCCTGGAGGACAAAGAGGGGCATTGGGGAGTGGGGGAGTTAGTAAACACAGGTCAGCTCATACCCATCGGCGCTGTAACATTATTGAGCGGATCATGCTTTAGCTTGACCTCAAATCCATATGTCCAATATGGAGATGGAGAGGGCTTCGTTGCGAGGGTAGACCCGTCCGTTGATGCGCTCCGTCAGCCAACTAAACAGCAGCGAGTACAGGATCTTGGCAACGGCATCTCTATGAAAAACACACAATAAGGTTTCTATGGAAACAGAAAACCCGGTTCCTATGGAACAGAGGACATCTGAAAAATCTCTCCCCCAGCCCTGACATCCTTTGTCCTCATATGCCTCTACCAAAGATTGGAAGAGAATATCAAAGACTCTTCACTCCCTCTCAGTAGCACTACTGGTAAGATTTTAGATCAAAAATGAGGACATTAAAAAGCTTCAAACAAGACTGTTAAACTGGCTTTTCTTTCAGGTTATTCCAAGCAGAAGTAGGTGCGTAGTATTTAATTTAACAGATACTATATTCAGACTTTTATTCACTCACTCACCTGGCATCCACAGCACTCTCCACTGTGAGTGGAGTTAAGATCTTCTCCCTTACTGTATCCTGGGAGGGTCAAACACATCTGTTATCTGACAACATATATTTGTTATATAATCCTTATATCTATGTTATTTTGAGCGTGAGCGTGTGATTGTTTATGCAAAGTGTGTTATGCTTACTGTCATTTTGAAGGTGACAGACTTCTGCAGGCCGTCAGGTGAGACCTGCAACAGCTCAGCTACCACCCTGATCTCCTGTGCGCTCACCATCGATGCAACCTCCTGACCCTCAGCCTGCACGGATGCACACCCACACACACAGAGGCGTGCACATTCATTATTGCCATCATCTATTAACATCATCATTATCATTCAGACGTGAAACGAAATGCATTTACGTATTTGTGCGTGTGTGTGTGTGTTTGTGTGTGTGTGTGTGTTTGTGTGACAGAGAGACCTGGAGTGGCTGGAAGTAGACATTCCCCAGATGAAGGACAGAGGACAGCAATCTGTAGATGCCGTTTTGCTCCTCTGGGGTGAAACACAAGATGTCCATGGCACTCAGAAGACGCCTGAAGTCCTCCCCATCATCCTTCCCCTCTATGGTACAATCACCTCCCTGCACTCGTGTACACACAAATCACACACACATACACCGTTATCAACAACAGCAGCATACTTACCCTCAGCCTGTTTAGTCAGAGCTCTAATTAAAGAGCAACTTATCAACAGCTGAAAGTCTTGTTTTTTCTGACCTCCAGAGGCTCAACTTCTTACCTTGATGCAGTGATGTAGAAGTATATGCCAGGGTGTACAGTACAGTCAGTACATCATGGCTGAGTGTGCTTACTGGTGCAACAGAGCACACTTCTGACCACACTTTCAACCAGACAGGATAATAAAACACTACTTTTCAGTATGGCATTACATTACTATTTAAAACATAAGCCACAAGTGATTGCAGTAGTAATGACAAACTACTAACAATAACGATGTAAATAGTCAAGGATCTTTAATTAGCATTAGCATGTGCAACCTGTTGCATAACAAGTCATGAAATGTTACAAAGAAGCAAGCAGATGTTGAGCACTTAAGGATCTTAACATGAGAAAAAGGGTTGCGGTGGTACTGTGACCTAAATGGTAAGTCAGCATAACAACATGCTCATAATGACAATGCTAACATGCAGATGTTTAGCAGTTATAATGTTTACCATGTTCACCTTCTCAGTTTAGCGTGTTAGCACATTTGACGAAAAAGAAAAATGTCAATCTATGGTTCACTAGACGAAATTTTGTAGAATTCATCCTTTCTTGTGCATGAGTGTCTATACAAAATTTCATGAAAATCCAACATAAACCTCACCATCATCAGTTTTTTCATTAAAAATTAAAGCCTTACTAGAAGGTACACAGAGTAACAAGTTGGATGTCCATTTTGGAAAGAAATAAGGTAATTACATCACTCAGTATATCTCAGATACAACGTGTCCAGGCTGCAAAGGTCCCTTACTCTGTATTTGGGTACTGCAATGAGTTTTAATGTTGGTGTTGGAACTATTAATCACTTTGTAGAATAAATGCCACAATTTAAAAAAAAATGACATCTCATTTGTTAATGTGACTGTGAAATTAATTACAGTGACCCCTCCTTATCTGTGCTGTGTGTGTGGCGGGGAGTGTACAGTATTTCATATTCCTCTGAGCACCTGATTCAGATAGTAGTAAGTCTCAGCTTCCTGCAGATAGAGTGAGCGCTTCTCATGAGGAGGAAGACCCGCCAACATCTCATAGAAGATGTGATAGTTCCTCTCCGATTTGGCCTGTGGATGAACACACACACACACACACACACACACACTGTCACATGACATACATGAATCAACTATCACATGCACACATATTCACATACACAATTAGACAAGCTCAAAAACAACTGGATAAATTGATGAATGACTGAGCAGACTGGGTGGTGTAAAGATCTGGTGCAACGTGTTTGACACCTCTAATGCAGTCTGCCTCTACAATCTCCTCTTTCGCACCATGACTCATTGGTAAGAAGACTCCAACCTGACCTGCTGTGTGTGTGTGTGTGTGTGTGTGTGAGCTTGTGTTTTCACCTGAAAGACAATGCGGGACTTCTCCAACAGGTACTGGGACGTTATGGCACCGCTGATAACACCCCTTGTTAATGACACACAGGCAGTTACACAGACACACATGCAGGGACGGACAAACACGCACGCTAAGTCTAGGTCATGCATGTGTAATTTGCCTGAATCTTCTCTGTCACAGTTCTAGTAAAAGATCAACTACTCATCTAACTGTGTTACTGGGACATGTTAGCATATTCTCCATTTAGCAAAGTGTGTGTTTCTGTGTGTGTGTGTGTGTGTGTGTGTGTGTGTGTGTCTGTGTGTCTGCAGACATGCACATAGGTGACCAGAAGGTTACATACAGGCTGCTTGTTAGATTTACAACGGGCTGTGTTTATCACAGAGAAACTACAGCCAATCCGCACTCTTGTTGTAGATTAGATATTAGATAGATATTAGCTATAACTATAAAAATACAGCTATTACAATATGTGATCTGATTCTGATGATCTAGAAATGGGGAAAATTCCTTGTTTCTAGATCATCAAGACTCTTTCTGGACTGGTAGAAGTTGTTACTACTTACTCCTCCATGTAGATCTGCGTGTATTTGCCAAAGCGTGAAGAGTTGTCATTGCGCACTGTTTTGGCATTCCCAAAAGACTCCAACAGGGGTGTGGCCTCTAGTATCTGACCAATCGTCACAGACAAAGATGTTACTATGGCTACCTTCAACATGGATAATAGTTGTCATGAAAGCAAAAACAAGGGGAGAAACACTTTACCTCTATCTGATGGGAGACGGTTGAGAAGAAGACAGAGGGGAGGAAAGCAAAGCAATACCAGTGTTAGCTTAAATGGCCATAGTAGGGAGTGTATTTGTTAACATGAATGTACATTATATGCTGCTTACCTGTTGTGTGACGTTGCACTTGTGATGTATGGCTGTCAGGTAACGCAGAATCAGTTTAGTAGCTTCAGTCTTTCCTGACCCACTTTCTCCACTGTAATAACAAATAATGTAATAACAGTTAACCAGAATCTTTTATGGCACTTTAGGATGTTGCACATTATGGACAGTAATAAAAATGATCTGAAAATGGGAGTTGTTAAAAATAGCATTTAACTGACAGCTTTAAGTTTTGGAGTTTTGTGCTGCTAGTTGAAATTCAAAGCCTTACTAAGCCAAAATGAAAAATGCCTGTAACAGTAACAGCATTTCATACCTGATCACAATACACTGATCCTTTTTGGCATCCATCATGGTGGTATATGAGAGATTAGCAATGGCAAAAAGATGACTGCAACACAACAACATTTTTTATATGAAAAACACATTTGTATTATCACTGTCATGTCTGTTGTGCGTGTCTATGTGTGTGTGTCTCTGCGTGTGGATGTGAAGTGGTAGTGAAATCCATAACCAAACTCTCCCTTGGCAACCAACCAACAAGAGTGTAATAGGAGCCTTTTACTAACACCTGAGTGCTGGCATTTACACCTCTATTTACCACCAAACTGTATCTCAGGGCACAGCCTGCGACACATGTAGACAGGCGTAATACAACAGTACAATCACACACAGGAACACACTGACTCAAAGGTTATTGTTAAAAGATTTTTGTTGGTGTATTCTGTTCAACACTAGAAAGCACTCAAAAGAGCTTACACCTGCAAATTTAGAGGAACTTCAGAAGATTATCTTTGAGGTAACCCTAAAATATTTTCATGATGATGAATAACTGTGAGAGTACTTTTTCTGAATCATCAAATATTCTTTGACCAATTGCCTAGCTCTTTATCAGATTTTATAGATGTGCAAACACAATTTTGTCATTGTCTGACTGCCAACACATAGTCAGACAACCAAACCAGACTTAAAACATGAACCTCTTTGGAGTTAATAAGTTCAGGGGCTAATTGACTAGGTCTAACACACACACACACACACACACACACACACACACACACACACACACACACACACACACACACACACACACACACACACACACACACACTCCCAAGTCTTACGGAGGGTTGTCACTCAGGCCGCGGCCCGCATACTGAAGCACCATGTCTGTGCCATAAATGTTGAGCAACTTGTAGGGATTCACAGACACGAGGATGCTGCCTATGTAGGTCTGTGTGTAAGAAAAAGAGAGAAAGAAAGGACAAGAAGGAGAGTGGATGTAGCAGGCAGTGTCCACGACATTTGATGACATTAGTTATTTAATTTGCAAATTACAAATTAAGCATACATATACAAGTTCCTGGTCGTAGCGCTTCTTCAGGTTCATCAGAACTGTGGTCTCATTCAGCTCACTGAAATTAAACAGAGGAAATTAAACACACATGTAGAGAGCACATATTGTCACACTGGAGCTCACTGTGACATCCAATATTAAGAACTTTTCAATGACATTTAAGATCTTTTTCAGTGAAAACTGGTAAAATTATGTGATGTCAAAGTCAGACCAAATATGTTTTTAAGCATGTAAGGAAATTATTATAGAATATTCTCTTTCAAATTACTATTGAAATAGCACATATCTAATGCATGGGATTCCTCTGGATTTGATCACTGTTTGACAGAGATCTACTTGGGTGTTGCATTTTAATAATATACTTAACATACTTAATGCGCATGACTTCTTTCTGAACTCACACACATTCCTAAGGATTTTCAAAGACTACTAAGCACACTGGGACACATACTTGAAGAAACTGAAAGGATATACATTGAAATGAGCTTTGCTGCTCTGCATTGGAGCAACAACATACTTGCAAGTATGACATGAGTAAATGAGCTTTGAGGCTGTTTGTTAATACAGGATTCTGCTTACGGCAGCTGTGTCATGTCCTCCATTCCCTCTGCCCAGCGTTTCGGCCTGTGGCCTGTTGTGGGCATGCTCAAAATAGAGTAGATCTGGACACATACACACATAATGGGATGTAATTAGTCCAACATTGTGATCCAACATTGTCAAATTCAAAAGAAATTCAAATATTCTTGTTTGTGAACTCTACAGGAAAATGTTTTTATATTGTCTACAGTATATTGCACTCATTCCAATACCAATTGATTGTCCATCAGCTGTCATTAAAAAATCACACAAATGTAAAAAGTGAAACACCTAATCTTCCTAAAATGGGTACACAGACAGACACATGAATAACACATGAATTCATACATTTAGCTACCTTGTCATACCAGCTTTGACCAGGTACTCTATCTCTGTCAGGAGTCCAGTCTGTGTCCTGAGGCTGTCCATCCACAACCCGAGGTGTGGGTGAAAATCCTTCTAACACCCCATCTTCTCTGTACATGGACCACTTTGACAGATTCTGGACCGTCCCATGTGGTAAAACCCTTTCAGCTGCCCAAACATCTTCTCCTCCTTCCCCTCCTCCTTGGGCATTCCTGGCCCAGTGTCCTGAGCGTGGCCCATAGGGAGGAACCACAGCATAGCGATTATCCTCACCCTGCAGGCCTGTTGGCACGCTGTATGAAGCATAGCGAAGCTGCTGATTTTGGATGGCATTCGACAGGCTTGGGTTGTGGAACCGACGTGTGAGAAGAGAGCCATCCGGCAGCCTGTCAAACAAGGAATGTTCTTTTCAATTAGAAACATGTAACACATGGATGTGCAACATGGCCATTGTGGAATTTTGTCATTGTGATAGTAATGGCAAATCATGCTGCTTTTCTACATATAGGGAGTTTACACCACAGGAACCTTCCCAGAGGACCAAGAACATTTTGAGGAAGTCTGTGTTGTTGCTTCTCAAGTGTAAAAATTGCATTACTAACACCGCCATTGTTTTTTAATCAATCATCGTATTATTTTATCTAATCTTCATAGTTCTTCAGGTGAGGTGGAAACACCACCCGATTCCATAGTTCCCGGAACGTTTTGGTCAAAAAGGACTAATATTTCATTCTTCATAGGTAAAAAGTTAATGCCTAGTTTGCAGCTTCATTTCTCAACAGGTAATTCTGTGCAACACCTCGACAAGGCTATCAGGCCATTCTCTTTCCTAGTTTCCTTTTAAAGTGTAGTTCCCCACCTGAAATGGACACCCTGGAGTTCCTCTTTCCGTAGTGCAGAGTTGATGTTGGGAGTTGTCGGTTTGGGTACGCCTGACAGCACATAGTTCTCTGGCAGATGATAGAGACCTGTAGACCGGATTGCCTGGTTTTGCCTCAGAGCAGCTGCAAGGTTGGGAGTGGAGGGCTTCTGACCAGGGATAACCAAGGAACCATCAGGGAGCGGTATGATGCATTACGAAGGTTCTCGTTCGTAAGAGCCTGCAGCACAAGACACCAGGTAGTTATTCAAGGCTGCAATCAGAATTTGGTAAATTTTGATAATTATTGTCATCAAACTGAAGACTTCAAATGTCTAAAATGTTATGTTTGCTTTTTAAACAAACACAGGGACCAGGAAAAACAAACAAATGGGTTCTGGAGCAAAGTAAATGAAGATAAATTTAACAGGTACACACTTTAGACAGGTTAGGGGCAACTGGTTTCCGTGGGTCAATGATGATGGTTCCATCAGGCAGAGTGTAGGACACACCCTTTAGATAGGGATTCTGCAGGGCGGCTGTCAGGTTGGGGGTCTTTGGTTTCCTTGGGTCCACGATAATAGTTCCATCGGGGAGGGTGTATGAAGCTCCTTTCAAGGCTGGGTTACTGAGGGCCTAAGTATTACGAAAGCTGTTTTCAGTTAAGGAAAACCTGAGAGGTTTAACAGTTCAATTAATCGTCAGAAAATTAAAGCAGCAGCTAAGTGTGTTTGATTGCCAGTTAAATATTAGCAAAAGACATGCAACAATTTGTTGAAACTATTTAAAATCCCTATACTTCAGCTCTTCTACACAAGTCCTACTATATATACAAAAAAGTGGCAGAAATAGTAATAGATTAACACACATGCAAGGTTACAGATGCTGTGAAAGTAAAGGGAAAAATAAAAAACCCAAAGAGTCTAAATCTTTAGCTAACCTTAGCCAGGTTTGGTGAAATGGGTGTATTGGGGTCATGAACCCCTTCTGGTAGTGTGAAGGAGGCATTCCGCAGAGCAGAGTTTTGAAGAGCATTGGAAAGGTTTGGAGAGATGGGTTTCCGTGGATCAATGATGATAGTACCATCGGGGAGGGTGTAAGATGCACTTTTCAGGTAGGGGTTCTGAAGTGCTGCTGTAAGGTTCGGGGACTTCTTTTTGTTAGGGTCAATCATGATGGTACCATCAGGAAGAGAATAGGAGGCTTCACGCAGCGCTGGGTTATTTAGTGCCTTGGCCAGGTTTGGAGAAATGGGTTGCTGAATGAGCAGAGACAGTTGAGTGAGAAAAATCTTCATTAACTTTGACTTTTACATGAGTAACAACAGTAGGGAGGGAGAAGAAAGGAATATAATACAACAATAAGAGGCAGATTCAATTCAAGTAAATAGTAATAAGTCATGGGTTACTTGCTGTCTGGGGTCTATAATGGTGCCATCAGGGAGAGTATATGAAGCAGTTCTGAGACCCTGGTTCTGAAGAGCCCTGGAAAGGTTAGGAGACGTGGGCCTCTGGGGCACACGTGGGTCCTGTGTGGGTGGGGAGTTATATAGGACAGGGCAACAATTGTTTTTCCATGTGGACAAACATACATGTCAGGTTGTATAGTTATTTCGACATGCTCCTTTTATACCTACCCTGATAATTGATCCATCAGGCAAGGTGTATGAGGCACCACGAACTTGTTGGTTTTGCATGGCATGGCCGAGCAATGGGGAGGAACGTGAATCTGCATATGGTGACACCAAAGATCCATCTGGCAGCCGGTACGATGCCTGCATCAGCTGTGGATTTTGTAGGGCACTTCCCAAAATTGGTGAAGAGGGTGGTGGGGGTCCATATGGGGATCGCCTGAGTTGCACAGGTGTCTGATAAGATGCTTGACGGAGGTTTGGGTTCTGTGTAAGAGCACTGTGGAGCTGTGGCCCAGCTGGTGCATAAGGGTTACGGTGTTGCATCATGGGGGATCTTAAAGATGAGACATTCTGCAGACCAGACCGGTTCTGCAGTGCATCATGAAGCAGTGGTGCTGGGCCAGGCTCAGAGATATAATCATATGGAGTAACAATAGTCGGCCCGTATGGTGAATGGAGCTGTGGAGTCTGATAAGAAGCCACACCTCTTAGTGCCTGACCATGTCTCATGGCTCCAGAAAGCATTGGAGATGAAGGTACAGATTGGGCATATGGGGACTGAGGTCTTTGAAGAGGAGACACATAGGTGGCATCTCTCACTGCCTGGTTTTGCAAAGCTCCAGACAGCATTGGTGAAGAAGGGTGCATAGGCTGCTCATGAGGGGACATTTCCCTTTGTAAAGGCGAAGAATAAGATGCATCTCGTAAGGCTTGATTCTGCAGCGCCCCAGACAGCATGGGAGATGAATGGGCCATAGGCTGCTCACGAGGGGACATTTGCCTTTGTAAAGGAGAAGAATAAGATGCATCTCTTAAGGCTTGATTCTGCAGCGCCCCAGACAACATGGGAGATGAAGGGGCCATAGGCTGCTCATAAAGTGACATTGGTCTCGGCAGTGAGGAAACATAGGATGCATCTCGAATAGCCTGGTTTCGCATTGCACCAGAAAGCAAAGGGGATGAGGGAGCATAATGTTCTACATATTCAGAAGCCATCTCACCCATGCCTACCATCTGGGCTGGTTGTGGGCCAAGGGGTGAAGCAAAGGAGGCATGTTGAATAGCCTGGTTCTGCAAAGCACCAGATAACATGGGGGAAGAAGGGGGAACAAACTGATGCAACTGCTCAGTATAAGGATCAGCATAGGGGCCAGACACATACGTTTCTGGTGCATATGTGGGTGGATGGGCAGCTCGAGGGAGCAGGAGAGGGGAGGACTGACGAGAAAGTCGAGGAGAAAGGCGTGGTGATGCAGAATATGGCATGTGTTTCAAGGAGGGCTGTGGAGAGGCAGGAGGCATCCTTCTTATAGACTGCTGTGCCATGAGGGGGCGTCCACGAGCCACAGGGCGAGGAGCAAATCGGCCAGATTCTCTCCTCCGCAGAGGAGCCCGGTGGACCATGTGGGGGGAGTGAAAAGGGGAGGAGTTGAGAGAGTCCACTGTGAGAACAGAAGACCTATTGCTTCGAATGGAGGAGGCACGGAAGGGACGCACATTTTGGGTGGGTGGGGGAACTGGGCGCCCTCGGAGACCCATAGGAGAAGGTCTGACAGTACCTAAGGGAACATTTCCCCCCATCCTAGGCCGGGCCAATGGTGTGGGGTCCCTGAGTAGCCGAGTTGAGCGACGAGAGAGGGTAGGAGATGATGGTGAGGGCCTGTGCCCTGCAGGGGATAAACTGCGATAAGACTGGGAGGGAGAGGGAGATGGTCTTCTACTGAGCTGTGGAGAGAGACGGGGGGATGCATGACCAGGAGATAGGGGAGGGGAAGGTGGCCCACGCATCTTCCTCCCTCCAAACGGGCTGCGTGCTGGAGTGGGAGAAGGTGGGGGACTTCGCCTCCTCATGGAAGCACGGGGTGAGGAAGGTGGCGAACGTTGTCTCATTGACGCTCTTGGTGAGGGTGGAGGACTTTGGCGGATCATGGAGGTACGGGGAGAGTGGGGGGGTGAGGGCCCTCGAGCCAGGGGAGATGGTGACCTCTGAGGTTGCATTCTACGACGGGCGATGGGCGAGGCCACGGGGGATGAAGGAGGGGAGATTCGTCTCAACATGACAGATGGGGGTCTTTGGGCATTAATGAACCCACTCCTCATAGATGGTTGTGGTGAGGGGCTGCGTCTCTGTGCAAGCATAGGAGATGGTACTGGGGAAGCCATGGCAGAGGGATGGTGCTGCATCTGTTGGGGTGACATGATGACAGAGCGGCGGGATGGAGTTGGGGAGGCTTGTATGCGACGCGCAGGAAGCGGGGACATACTTGCTTGCTTTATAATCATGGCAGTTGGAGTGGGGATCGACACTGGGCCATAACCCTGTTGGTGTGACATCATCATCGGGTCTGTCATCATTTGCTGCTGAAAGATCACAAAAAAATATGTGCAGAATATATTGAGAATGAAAAAATAATACATTGAGGTAGCAAATGGGGCTAGCAGAGCTGAAAATAGTATTAGGTTGTAGTGACAATTACAGTACAAATGCAGTATTCCAACAAGAGTACTATCATACACCATATGGAAAATAAGTTCTGTAAATAGGTGCTTCTGCTCTGCAATTAAATGTTTTTGTGGACCATATATCAAGGACACATTTCACTGTTGTGAAGTGTGGAAGAACGCATTTTTCTACATGCACCTAATCTTTGCGGAGAAAATGGCATAATCAAGTTCTGTAACAACAAACAACAGTATTAATTGTAAAAATTGCAATATGTAAGACCCCCGCAACGACACCTCTCCACCCCAACATGGTACCTATAACTATTTGTTACATTGCTGGTCATAAACTAAGCATTATGTCAGAAAAGGGTTGCTTCAGGCAACCGACTAAATGTTTCAAGGCCCCCCATTGTCACACACAACCATGCTGCACCTGGCTAGCAGTTGTCACTGCAGTGATCGGGATGTCAGTTGTGTTTTGTCAAAATTAAGCAAACAGGCATATCCAGTGCCAACAGTATCTTCATTTCAATTCATGTTTATGATAATGACAATAATAAGTCACTTGTTATAGATAAGAGGTTGGGATGAATTACTACTGATGGCAAGTAATAAGGAGATGTTCATTGTTTAAACACTTATAATCTGCAAGAGTAGCCACTGATTGGCTGTTGAGTAGCCACAAATATTCCAACTTATTTATATCATAGAAATATCTCCAGTACAAAAAATCGCTCACTGTCTTGTTTTTTTCCCTACTTGAAAGCTAACATTGTGGTGAAATATTTATTTAGTTGTAAGAAATGCTTTGGGTCTCCCTCTAGGCTTGGATGACTTAAAAGAAGGAACTACATGCTGTGTAACTCCAGCTGGTTGCTTGGCGGGGCAGTGGAGGTGTGTTCTCTTTAAAACAGTGGGAATTTGTGTTACATATTAACATGTTCACCCCACATTACAATAGGAATCAGGCTGAAAGTCAGCAAAGTTGCCCTTCTGTGACCCTCTAGCGCTGAGAGACACAACAGATCTAGAATTACCTGTGGTGAAATAATTTCTGGAGAGATCATCTGTTGCTGCGCCAACATCATCTGCTGCTGTGGTGACATCATTTGCTGGGGCATCATCTGCTGCTGTGGTGACATCATTTGCTGGGGCATCATCTGCTGCTGTGGTGACAGAATCTGTGATGGCATCATTTGGGCAGACATACACTGTTCTTGTTGTAACATCATTTGCTGCTGTGGTGACATCATCTGTTGCTGTGGTGACATCTGTGGGAGCATCATCATTTGTTCTTGAGGGGGCAACATAGTTTGTTGTTGAGAAAACATCATTTGATCTTGAGGAGACATCATCATTTGTTGTTGTGGTGACATCTTTTGCAGTGGTGACATTGTCTGTGGGGGCATCATCAATTGTTCTTGAGGGGGCAACATATTTTGTTGTTGAGAAAACATCATTTGTTCTAGAGGAGACATCATTATTTGTTGTTGTGGTGACATCATCATTTGTTGTTGTGGTGACATTCCCATTTGCTGCTGTAATGACATCATGTCACCAAGTTGACCTGGTGCAAGAGGAATCTGGTCTTCATACTGTATTTCTGACATATCTTCAAATTCTGGATCAGGTGGCAAAGTAGGTGGAGGGGGCAGGGGCACATCTAGGCGCTCTTTCCCAAATAGACGCACTTGAGGTCTAGGAACTCGAAATGTCATCTCCCCTCCCTGAATTCCACCAGTATCATCTTCATATTGGTCCAACTGGTCAGCATATTGGCCCCCATACAGATCCTGTACCTGACCCATCCCTTGCCCTCCAAAGCCAAAGACCTCCTGGCCTCCTGGTGGGAATCCAATTGCCTGCTGAGAGCTGTAGTCTTGGTAGGGCATGCCAGCATCACTATAATTAAGTTGATGGTCTGGTGAAAATCCCCCCTGCATTCCCATAGTTGCTGCATAAGGGTTCTCATAATATCCTGCCTGTTGGTTGTCATAATAACCCCCTTGTCCATCACTGTAGTGAATTCCTTGACCATTTTCATCATAATAACCATGAGCCTGAGGGTCAAAGAATCCATCTCCCTGATACATTTGGTCCTCACCCATAACATAGTAGTCTAGACCCTCGTCACCGTACATTGCCATTGCCTGTTGTTGCTGGTAACCATAGTAATCAACTTCCTGGTTGTTATAATAGCCTGGGGCAGAGGAATATGGGTTACTGTAGTCCACCAGGCCTTCATCATGAAGACCACCTTCATAATATTCTGAATTTGGATCATAGAGTACTTCTTCCTCATAGTAACCCAAGTCTTGATACTCTGTTCCCCCTGCTCCATTGTCATAGTAGCCGAACTGACCCTGGCTTCCATATGCTGCAGTTGCCTCGTCTCCATAACCACCATAACCATCATTATAGCCTCCATAACCTTTCTGGTGGACTGAATGTTGCTGGTTGTATCCATAAGCCTCCTCCTCCTGCTCATAACCATCATTATGGTAACCATGGAGATAACCTCTGGAGCTGGCTTGTTGCCTATGTGCTCTACGCCCTCGCATTTTTGTGGACAGGAAGCGTTTGGTCAGCCAGTTAGTTGCTGCTGCAACCTTTCCCAGCAACACACTTCTGACTTTGAAGTCGTCAGCAGCCCCGGCACCATTCTTTTTTCCAAATAAGCCTTTGAAGAAGCCCCCCTTCTTTTCATTTGATTCTTTCCCTCCTCCCAGACGAAGCAACATATAGGTTGGCTTTTTCCCACCATTTGCTGCCTCCTTCTCTTTGGCCTCTTTCTCCTTTTTCCTCTTTTTGCTGGCCTTAAACCTCATCATGAATCGAGAGGTGTTCTTCAGCATGGACTTGCGGCGTTTCTTTTTAGCAAGGCGGGTCTTTCTCCTCCCTAACCCCAGGAACAAACGTGATGTACTTTTTAGCTTCTTCCTGCTGTTCCTGCGTCTCTTGAATCCAGAAAATTTCATGAACATTCTGGACATGTTCTTCAGACCTTTCTTTGGGATTTCCTTTATTGGAAGCTGTGGAGCTTCCTCTTTCTTTTTACCTTTTTTCTTCTTTGTATCAGCATCCGATTTCCCTCCTTTATGGCCATCTTTAGATTTCTTTTTGGATTTCCCATAGTCCTCTTCATCATCATCTTCCTCCTCTTCATCTTCATCCTCCTCGTCATCTTCTTCTGAGTATTCCGCATGTCTAGACTTCCCCCCTTTCTTTCCCCTAGCCCCCCTGCCTCCTCGCCCCTTCCCTCTCCTGTCATCCTCTGAGTCTTCCTCCTCTTCTTCACTTAACTCTTCATCCTCTTCCTCATCACTCAGGAGCTCCTCCTCTTCCTCTTCGGACTCCACTTTCTTACCTTTCCCTTTATCTTTTCCTTTCTTTCCATCATCTTTCCCCTTGGGTGGCTCCTCCTTTCCTTTCTTCCCCCCTTTCTTATCATCCTTCCCCCCTTTCTTATCATCCTTTCCACTTTTCTTATCATCCTTGCTGGGTTTCTTGTCGTCTTTTCCTCCCTTTTTGTCATCCTTTCCTTTCTTTTCCTCCTCTTTCTTTTTTTCTGGTTCAGGCTTTCCACCCTTCTTTGCATCCTTCTTGGCGTCTTTCTTGCCGGGCATTTTGACAAGTGGCTAGGAGCACACCATGCCCTCTCTTCAGGATGCAATGCTGTAAACATAAAAACAAACACATATCACATGGAACGCAATACTCAAGTTTAAATAATATATAATATGTCTTTTAGTTTTAATATAAAATGTGATGTGATATGTTAAGAAAATATAATCAGGAGTCTGACCTTAAAAAGACTCCCTGGTTTAGATATGCCTAGTTGACTTTGTGCCGGCACTATATGCAGGTTCAATATTTGTGTGAGGACAGGTCCATCTGGCCAAAGCAGTTGTACACTGCCCAAATCTGGTCCCCATGAAGGCTCCTGTCCAGACATACGTAACTAAATGTGAACAATATTTTACCCCACACACATAAGGTATATACCAGTATACACAAACACTAGCATACACACAATAAAAACAAATAGTTAAACACTGCTGCTAAATTATCTCCAACACCCGCTCAGAGATGTCCAATTTTATAAATCTCTCATCTGAGAGAGCTCTGACCCCTATATAGAGTTATGCAATTTATTTTAAGAGACTACCAATCTCTACTCATCAATGCCCATCTCTACTGTAGGCTTTAAGGTTAAAGGGTTCAATGGATCAGAGCTCTAAACACCTCCTATAAATCTAATTCTGCTGTATTATCAAGCTTAACCTCACTGCAAACTCTTAACAAGTTTAATATTCAATATTTTTACTTGTGTTGGTTTGACTAATTTCCTCACAGTATGATCAGCTTTTTGTAAAAATGCATAGAACATTAAAAACACACAAACAAAACATGCAGCTGTTATTCCAGATCAAGCTCGATCCTCTCTATTTGGTCATCGAGACACCTGTCCATCATAGTCACCTCTATATTCAATGACAAACAGTACAGAAGAGCAAATGCGGTGGTTGCCAGAATCTCTGCAGTCTTCAAATTTTTGGCATCCTTCCTGGAGGGTCTCTTCTTCAGCTGTTAAAAAAAGAAAAGGCAAAAAACTCTGGGACAAAAGTTTTTAGGTCACACTCAGCTTCTTCCTCTGACCTACTCTGTCCTCTGTTGCTCACTACAACACTTTTCCCTCACTCAACACAGCACTCTGTTCCTACTGCCCTCCTCAGAGTATGTGACAGCTAGTGTGTGTCTGTGAGTAAGTGTGTGTGTTAGGGAGAAAGAGAGAAGGGCAGATGGTTGCCTGTTTATGTGTATGTGTGTGCATTTGCATGTGTATGTGTTTGCATGCATTTGAGGAGTTCCTTGTGACGGGTCGTAGAAGGAGTCTTAATTTGTCATCTGGCTCAACAGGTGAAACTCGAGAGCACTGGGCAGCTGAGGGGGCGGGGCATAAATAATACAAAAGGTCGAGGGAGAGAGAGAGAGAGAGAAAAAGAGACAGACATGGGATGCAGAAGATAAGCCTGACTAGCAGTACGATGTGATCAAATCCGCAAATATCCTGTAATTAACAACCTCTAATTTCTGTATCATTGTGTTGCATGAACACTAAGTCACAAAGACACACGTACCTTTAGGCTATCTAGCCTTAAATCTACTTTTTACTCTTTTTCCAGAGTAACATGTACTATCAACTGTGTGTGTGTGTGTATGAGCGAGGATGAGTGATGCGTCATTCTAACAAACATTATATATAAAACAGCAACAGTATGAGCAATGCAGGCAGCCACCAATCTACTTCCACATACGTAACAGCAGGAGAAGGAGCAGAGGCAGGAGAAACACCCACTGGTTAGATATGTGACGTTTTCACTCTAGGTATCAATAACAGAGGAATGACTCTCTCAAACACACACGCAGCCAGTGAAGGATCCGTAACAGGGCTGTGATTATAAGTGCCATCAACCAAATTATTCCTCTTCAGAGGGAAGGGGTCGGATTTCCAGATCTGTCTTGTTACAGGGTACAGGTGTTGGGTTGCCAGATCCTGATCTTTTGGTCTTGGTGTGTAAGTCTATCTGATCATTACCGACGAGCAAAGAGCATATGTGCGTACATGTGTGCACAGTGTCTTTATGCAGAGTTATGTCTACAAAAACTGGAAAGCGTGATGAAAGAGTATTTTTATCCTGGATTTCCTACATATTGTTTCCAAGCGTACATCTGCCTTTGAAGCAGAATGAAATGACCCTATCAAACGTGAAAAGCTCTGAGTTGCAGCCAGTCTCCCTCTTCCCAAAGCAATCACTACTGGCAGGTGGTCCTCCGTCTTTTGATAGAATTTGTACAGACGAGATAAAACACAGAAACTGGGATACATGCCCGGGAGAGAAAATCAGACTTATGACAGAGGTGGACTTGATGAGGCTCATCAAAAGCATTCACGTCCTGAGGGGGAGCAGTAGACCATCTTTGTCACTTTACACAAACAAACACACACGCACACATGCACATACACACAGCAATCTGCTGCTATCTAGTGGACCCGCTTTACACCTGCAGCACTCCTAATAGTTTGGAGTTGGTTGGATCAGGTATGATTACAGGCCTGCAGCAAGTGTAAAGCTTGCACAACACAAAGCAATTACCCAACCATTTTACATTGGTTTTCATGATTTAATACAGCCTTAAAATGAGTGCCAATGAGATATATCAGGTAGTCTTACTCCAGGATGAACATTTATCTTGCAGAATAAAGTTGAGTAATGTTAAATGAGGCAAACCGATGTACAGTTTATGTGTGGACTAAACAGGATGGAAAAAACCTACCTTTCCTCCGGCGCACCCAATGTCGGAGTTGCTCACGTCACTGGAGCCCCGTAGTCACACTTCCCCATCTTCTTATAGGTCAAAATGAACAAAAAAAAAAAAACACCACAAAATGTATACGCACACCGTTCACTTTTTTTTTATTATTAAAACCACTCACATTTTTCCTCACCTCTGCTGCTCATCTGTCGGGGCTCAGAGCAGCAGGTGTCGGTTAGCAGAGAGGGAAAGTGTGCTACTGGGAACGGAGGATGAATATTTAACGACCGCTATTCTTCAGTGACCGGCCGGGGCTTGAGTTCCACACACTCCGGTGAGAAGTGATGAGCACCGCGGGTGGGCAGTGTCGGTCATGGCGATACACACTGATGTAACTTACATAGTGGTAAATAAACAAGGCGGGTAACGTTAAACGTAAGACAAATTAAAATTAAATTAAATAAATAATAATACATATTTAAATATTAATGTGTGTTTTAACCTATAAACGCTGCCTTCTCTGGCTTACGTTTGAATGATGTAGACTAGCTTAATTTTTTAGTTAGCCAAATTATGATGACAGATAGGCTATAACAATATCATTATGATGATTTTAACTGAGAAAAAGTTGGGTTTGCCTTCACTACTGACTTATCCGGAGGTGTATTATATAGCAGGGCTTAGGCATATGTAACATTTCCTCTCACCCTGTCTGAACGCGATGGGAAAGTGTGTCATGAGATGGCTCAAGGGGTATATGGAGCATAACAAATGAAGGTGAGCGCTACCGCACGAAAATGTACAGTCTCCACATGAGCAGTCCTTCTGTTGCCCGCCAGATGGACCCGCCTGACAGCAAACAAACAGCAGAGTCACACAAACTGCTGCATTCCACTTGAGTCGCTCCATAACCCAGACGACCTTGCCGTCTCCCCCACATGAGCGGCTGGTCGCCCGCATCACAACAACTTTTGGCTTTGATATGGAACCAACTGTGGAGAGCCACGATGTAAGACCTCGCTGGGGGGTTTTAAAAAGAAAAATAAGCCTTTGGCTACGTTAGAGCTATTTTTAGAGCTGCTCTGAAATAGTGACTTACATAGACTTAACCAATTGGCAAATTTGCAGTGTTTTGGGTACATTTCATATAGGCCTACTGTTATACAACCTGCAGCTGGCAGCCAAAGTCTTGGTCAGTCCAGGCAGCTCTCCAGTCTGTCAGCATGTTTTCTAATCAAAACCAGGGCACTGATTTTATTTATTGCCCACAAACAGCAACAAATAAAATACAATTTTAGTCATAATATAAATTAGAATAAATTAGTGGTTTGCAATCTGGGTCAAGATTCCCTTTAGGGGTCACAAGATAAATTTAAAGGGGCTGTGAGAAGATTAACATGATAGAAAAGCAGTAAAAAAAAAACAACATGTCTGCTCAGAAACCTTTTCTGACTGCCTCTAATATTAATCTAAATAAAACTATTTTTTTCTTGTAAATTACTGGATTATTTTACTTTGAGGAACATCTTCAAGTATCTTCAACCAAGTCCAGTTGCCCTTGATTTTAACCTTCCTTGGATATTTCAACTTTTAATGCAACCTGTGACAAGGGGTAGAAAGGCATGACCTCATTTCAAGGGGTGACAAACAAAAAGGCTAAAAACCATTTGATTAGATGAATGATAGCAGATAGTATAATGTATTTCTTTGTCTGTGGTTCTGTTGTGATTTTACAGAGCTACAGGGTGGTAGCTATTTTATTCTTTCTGGAAGCAAGCCTTTCTTGAATTATTTGGACTTTTTGAAGGCAGTGTTGCAACCAGGGGTTGCTGATTGTGGCCCCCTGATGCCAGCTCACTTAGGGCCCTGAAACAGTAAATATCTATAATGCTTACTATGCCCCAAGGGCCCTGTCCGACTCTGGGCTCTGTGAATCATTCAAGAAAAATAATGGCTTTGTCCTACAGGCACAGGCTACTTTTTTAAAAATAACATATACAGCAAAACCTATAGAAGGTAAAGAAAGGTGGTGATTGAAAAATGTTGCAAAATATAATGTAAAGCTAGACCTATATTTTTATTTGACAAAAGACATAAGAGAAGAGAAGGGTTAAAATGTAAGTAGCCTAATCTTTAAAAATGAACAGATGAAAAAACAAAATGCAATTGCTAGTAAGGTGAAAACACAAAAAGTAGCCTCAGCTTACTGCGTCTGAGTTTGAAATGAATGCAGTGATGAGCTTTCCCACCACCAGGCTCTGCTGGTTCGACAGCAGGCGGAAGATCAGTGAGCGGATCACTAACATTAGTTTTTCTCGTGAAGGAGTCAGCTGAGTATGGAGCTGGAACA